TGACATGTTGGTGTTTTATTCAGTAAATACAGCTGAATAAAATAAAAACTGTGTCTTAATTTCAGGCCGCAATGCAACAGAATGTGATTATTATAAAGGGGGCTGATTCTTTTCTACACCCACTGTATGTGATTTCAGACACATTCACACAGGAACGAAACAGGTGTCTGTCTTTATGAGTGAGTCATTGAATCATTCACTCAACCAATTCATTCAACAATTCAGATACATTCATGAAGGATACAAGTGCTTACATCATTTACATATTGTTGCTTGCTTAAAATCCAGATGAGACTGATAACAGTGATGACAGAATTTAAATGATTTTTAAAGCTGAAGTGTGTATAAATAGGTTTTCCCAAACACTGTCCTTATTTTCAACTGGTCAGACGCTATCCTGTTCAGTTTTGATGACTTATACTGTAGATTGCTCTGAATATTTCGGAATTCGGAAAGGCTAGCAATAACAAGCTAGCTTTGAAAGCAAGATCCCACCTTCCCTGCATTACTCTTCAAAGCCACGGCTCCTCCAAAACACACGACTGCACATAATATTTCAATAACAACGCCTTCTATTCTCGCTCGGTCTGCAATAGCGTAACAGAATGTGCTGATAACGTATCATGTCTGCGCGAACAGCCTATCGCAATGTTCGGACCGAATAATCTGATTGGTCAAACATTTTATGGTCCTACACCTTCCACAGACTATATAAATACATCTAAATACATTTAGACCACTTAACTTATTGATTGCTATCGGGATATGAAGAGACTTTCAACCAGCACCACAAAAAGTGTTTTTGAACCAAATCACCTACCCTGCCTTTAAGGTAGGATAGGACTAAAATCATTTATCATTAAAAAAATAAAAAATCACAGACTTCACATCTCAGTAGCTGCACATGCACATTGAAATCCTTTGCCTATCTATGACATTAATATTAAGAAATACTATATTATTCACATTAAAAAAAAAAAACTTTTTTTTTATGTCTACCAGTATGTCTATCTACAAATACTAATGCGATCACACTGGTATAGGACACAGAAAACTAAATCACGCACAGAATGAGGAAAAGACAGTGTGACAAGAAAATTACATTCCTACATTTAAAGAAGGATCTGGCTCGCTCTTCCAAGTCCGCTTTTGTTCTCTTGTCTCTCGCCTCTGGTTCAGATATTGCATTACTGCCATCACTGCAGGCCATGATCTAATTAGAAGCGAGCAAGACTTTAGCACTTGTCACATCTCAGTCTGTTCGGAGGTGCTGAAAGACCTCAGACACACACACACGCACACACACACACACACACATGGTCCGATCAGTGAAGTGAGGCACAGGGAGAGGCACCTTAATGCCCTATTTCAGCATTATTACAGTGTTGTGGATGGATTGTCAGCAGGAGCTCTGAGGTACTGAAGTGTGAAAGCCATCAGCGGCTCTCGTCCGTCTCCACACTCCTCTGATCCTCCCTGTCATTACTGGAGTGGGATGGATCCGCAGCAATTCCCCCAGATTCCTCCTTCCCTCTCTCAAACACATCCACACGTCCTCCGTCTCCTCCATCAGCCTCTCTGACTTCATTATGCCATGTGATTGGAGAATTTGCCCTACATTCACTTAACACTTGTGCCATCTGTTAGACTCCCTCGTTAATGGTGTCAGATCCTCTGCAAATCATTGATATTGAAATGTATGCACATAGCGTTATATCCATCAGTGCAAGAGCGACTAAATGTTTTGTCTGCGTCGAGACCGGCACTTTAAGACTGAGCTTTACTCAAAACAGTCTTTATGATTCATTGACATTTTAAATGAATGTGTAAAAATAATTTTATTAATAATGATCATTTTCAACTAATTAAGGTTCACTGTGTATTTTTTCTTCATTTGAAAGTTTGACATCTAAATTCATTATATCATCATTCATTGCTGAAAACGGTTAGACACTTCTATCCAAAGCGACTTGCACTGCATCAGATGTTTACATTTGTATCAGTTTGTGCTTTCTCGGGGGACTGCTTTAGTACCATGCTATTATTTACCATGCTTTAGTATAAACACCAAACTGGCATATTGACAAGCGCTGAGTACACCTTCAGTCATTTTTAATTTCATGTTAATTTTAAATGACTTCTGTCTAGCTTGTGATGTTTCTGATCTATTGACTTCAACATTTTTACCTTAATCTTGACCCAGTATTGCATTTCAGCTGAGATCTGTGTTCACTGTCTGATGTCAAATAACACAGACATTTATCTTGTGACATTGGAAACTTCATTAATTTACAATTTGATACGGTTAAACTGACTCACTGTTACCATTTGGTAATTGGTTTGATTCTGTCATAGTCTCTCGAATCACCTCCTGACGTGACCTTGCTGCAAATCAGAGCCATTACAGTCTTCATTCATTAAATAAAAAGAAGAGATGTCTGTGTAAAATCTGTCTTGTTATGCTAAAACTCAACAGATTATGTTTACACATAAAATACGTTCCACTCAGTGAAGACTATTACTTCCGGTGAGGTTCTGAAATGTGCACCCAATAGACACTTTTACCATCCCATGAGGCCACGGGAGAGGAGTTATGAATGCCAGCGAACTGATGCAACTGATGCTGCTATAGTAGGTCACACGACACTGACAACATGACAAATATAGTCAATCCAAACTACATTCAAATACCACACACATTCATACCATACAGAACATACAGGTCGCAAAGTAATTACGTATTTAAAAGAAGTACCTACTCCGAGAGTATGTGATTTCAGACACATTCATAAAGGACCGAATCCGGTGCCTGTCTTCATGAGTGAGTCACTGAATGCTTCACTCAACCGATTCAAAACTAGACCCGACCACTCAAAAACTCTGACTCATTCAGAAATGAAATGAGTGCTGGAATTATTTACACACCTTTGCTAAAATCAAGATGAAATCAAGAAAATCAAGACTACTAAATTGATCTATTTGTATGACAGAAGTAAAATATGTTTTATAAGTGTTCAATTTCTAAAAACAAAACACTCAACTGCTCAGACGACCAGATAGTCCTGTTCAGATAGTTTTAACGGCTTACTTGTAGATGGCTCTGAATATTAAGGTAGGCTAGGACTAGAATATTTTACCATAAAAAAAATGAAAAAATAGACCACCATTAATTTTGTGACTCAGTAGCTGTATATCGGAGTTATTTTTTCATTTTCACTTTCGGTATATATATATATATATACTTATATATACTTATATATTTATACAAAATATTTATTTGTTTATTTATTTATTAATTTATTTGAACAAATAAGCAATTTGGTAATTGGTTTGATTCTGTCATAGTCTCTCGAATCACCTCCTGACGTGACCTTGCTGCAAATCAGAGCCATTACAGTCTTCATTCATTAAATAAAAAGAAGAGATGTCTGTGTAAAATCTGTCTTGTTATGCTAAAACTCAACAGATTATGTTTACACATAAAATACGTTCCACTCAGTGAAGACTATTACTTCCGGTGAGGTTCTGAAATGTGCACCCAATAGACACTTTTACCATCCCATGAGGCCACGGGAGAGGAGTTATGAATGCCAGCGAACTGATGCAACTGATGCTGCTATAGTAGGTCACACTACTATTTATTTGTTTATTTATTTATTAATTTATTTGAACAAATAAGCAAGCCCAGCCCGAGTGACAAAAATAACGTAATCCATTATTTTCTATAAAAAGTAACCAAGTAACACATTTAGCTAAGTTTTCATAGAGTAACCCAATATTTTAATGCATTACTTTTAAAAGTAACTTTCCCCAACACTGGATGTAAAATGTGATATTACAACAGATTACATAAGAATGGTTTGATATAGAAACACGTTCTGCTAGGCCAAAGAAACAGAAGCGTGAAGAAGTGAAGAGATGTGCTTCTGTTGACTTCATCCCCATGGAGATTTAATAGGCTTTTATTGGGCCACGTGGGTACCAGCAGGACCTCGAGTGCTAATGAGGGTATACCACTTCTGCACTTACTGCACACACACACACACACACACACACACAGACACACACACACACACACACAGACACACGGCTCTTATGGACACTCCTGCTCCAGATCAAACGCTGCTCATTACATCACACCCCCTCACTGCCAAACCTCTTATTCCTGATCTTTACTTTCACCACATCAGTTTAAGTATGAATCAAATTTCTTTCAGAATCTGGAGCGTGACTAATAGCGTTTGCGGGCGATCTCTGCGAGGCTCTCTTTGCACTGAAATGTCATCACTTGGTGAGATGTTGTGGAAAGAGACACGTGCAGTGGAGCGTGGCGCTGATCGCACACCTCCGGCTGCAATCTGAGGAAACATGATGATGATGATGGTGAGGAGCATGATGTAATCCCTCTCATGCCACAGCAAGCGTGAGCAGCACACACACAGAGCGGCAGTGCCATCTCATGGTGACTCAGGGAAGCGTGATACATGAGGATCAGAGAATTACATCACCGTTATCAGACAATAGTGCTGCTGAGATTCTGACTCTCGGATACAGACACACACTCATCACCAGAGTTGCCAAAGACAGCAAAAACGCTCACAGATGATGCAGCTTTGTGATCTTTTACAGCAGTGTTGAACATTTTCTGATTCAGTTCATCATGAGACGGCGACAAGCTAAAGGTACAGTTTCTGCACAGTTACACACGTTACATGTACTTACTATTATAATAACAATTAAGTATGCATAATTACATGCAAGGAACCCTAAGACAAACCCTTACCATATAGTAAGTACATGTAGTTAATTAATATTACTCAGTGTTTAAATGTATAATTACACTGTAACAAGGACACCTTAAAATAAAGTGTAACCAGAAACACTTCTATAGCATTCATTAATCTTAGTTTTTGTCAAATAAATGCAGCCTTGGTGAGCAGAAGAGACTTCTCTCCCAAACATTTTTCTACCTGGTTTCAGATGCACTGCTGATGTCTTACCGTTGTCCTGAGTCTCCCGTGACGCCGTGAGTCCGCTCCTCTTCTTGCGTATGTTCATGAGCTTGGCCTGTGAGATCTCTCGCACTACAGAGGACAGCTGCTCTTTCGAGCTCTGCGCCGGAGGACTGCTCTTCTCCGGTCCACACTCACACTTGCTCAGATGATGGGTCCCCGCCTCACAACACAAACATTCAATGATTAAACACTTGAGAACGCTAACGTCTGTTATTATGATGTGTTTGTACTCACATCTCCATTCTGCCGTCTGTATTGGTATATCGGAGGTAGCGATGCTGCTTTAGACCTGAAATCACATTCAGTCACATTCTGCTTGAAAGCGTCCTTCATCTCTAGTGAAAATGCTGTCTTTCTCTTACCCGTTCACTCTCTTCATGCCGATGGGTTTATTGAAGAGCAGGTCGCTGTATGGAAGCTTTCTGAATTTGTCTCTGCCAACAGCGACGTAAAACTGTCCGTTTTCTAACTCCTTTCCGTCCATAACGAGAGTCCCTTCAAAGGTGTACAGGCTGAACGAGAAGATGTTAAAGGCTTAATAGGTAAATACTGCTCGAGTAATATAGAAATGCTTATCATCTGAATGACTTTTCATGAGCCTCTCAGACTTTTACAGTGTGTCCTGGAGAACCACAGGAATGAAAGTAAATCAAAATGATGTCATTTGTAAAATGGTTGTAGCCTCTCTAAAAACATTATTGTTACAGGTGCACAAATTGCATGCAAACGTTAAGCCTGAAAGAGTTATGCTCTGAATTTAATAAGCGGCTGCCAGAAGAATTACATAAAACCACATTAAAAGACAAAAGACTTGTTTTTCTGAATTTAAAAAAATCCTTTGAGCACTATGAATTCATTTATCTTCAGTGTTATTGCCATGGAGCACATTTCATCCATTTCTTGTGCTTGCGTACCTCCAGACACCCCCAACGATTCGCAGGCCCATTCTCTCAGTGATCATCTCCAGAATCTGCTCAAACTGGCCAATCACGCGGCTGGGAATCAGCAACCTCACCGCTGGATTCAGGACATCTCCATTTGCCACAACACTGACACACACACACACACACACACACACACACACACACACACACACACACACACAAACTCTCACA